GGAATTTTTTTTAAATGTGAGATTATTTATGTGGCTTACTTTGCAGCTGTTCAAGATCTTTTAGATCAATTTACTCTCTTTTTATGTCCTACTACAGATGGCTCTGAAACAAGTAGCCTCTAATAAGAAAAAATAATTCTTTTGAGATCTCATTCCCCAATTCAGAATTCTTGCTAGAATATTCAAACTGTCATGGATAGGGACCAAAAGATAGAAATTAAATTTTATTTTGTACCTTCCTCCTAAAAGTAAATGGCTAATTCTGAATGTTTATGATAATAAGAGATACAAACAATTGAATAAATTTAATAAAACATTAAGTACTAGCTTCTCTAGTAAAACTGTTCATCAAATCTTTTATCAAGTAGCAAAGTGATCAGATTTGAAGTTTACTTTCTTTTCTTTCCAATGTACATCTCTATAAGCAGTACTTATGCCCAATAAAATGGCTGAAGACGAGAGAAGGGACAGTAGGCAAAGCAAAGCTCCGACTACCTCTTGTAACCTAAATGCTACTTTCCACAATTTGCTTCTTTAGAGCTTAATAATTAAACAAAGCTAAGCATCTTCTACATAGACCATTTTTCAATATTACTCTCAACAGTATTTGTACATCAATAATGTTCATTTTAATAATGGCCAATATATATACATAGTTCATTAAAAACAAAGAAAAATCATGTTCATAAGATAACATGACCAATTAATAAAGATAAAATGGAATTAACAATTTAGTAAACTCTGTAGAGTTCCTATAAGGTTATGGCTATGAAATATCAATTTTCCTTTATCATTCAACTTGCTTATCTTTAATATATTTTAACTTTTAGTTTCACAAACTAATGGTAATTTGGTAAAGTAAATTTTTTAAAGCACCATATATTCAGTTATTAACCTAAATTTGTTAAAATCCTAGAACACTTTAGCTTTCCATTAATAACATTTTCTATTTTCAACACTGGAAATACAAGAATGCAAAAGTACCTAAAACACTGGGATATATGTTGCTTATCTTTTAATTAGACAAGTTTGGACTATATTAACTCGGGTAAGCATGGTTAGAACCTTTTAAATTCAAATTTATCTTCCCTCAGTTTTTCCTATAAAATGCACTTCTTTCCAAAAGGAACATCTCTGCTTTAAAAATATATCTGCACACTGGTTACCAGAAAAGTAGTTCAGATGAGTATTACATACAGAATGGAAATAAGACCAGGGAACCCGCTATGAACATGTGATGACAGTATCTGGCCTGTGTATTTATATAACACCAGTTTTGGGCTGACCAATATCCTCAAACTTTTTATACAATTTTATCCCAAAATATAACAACCTAAAACAAATGTTATTTTCTTTCAAATACTGTCAAAACTAGTTGTCTAGGTAACAAAATTCTAAAACTTACAAAATATGGTATGTCAACTAAACATGCTCAATAAAATATTGATTTCAATACATTTTTTACAAAAAGCCAATGTATTTAAAACACAGACTTTAAGTTTACCTTCTAGCCAGGTATAGAATGATTCTCCTAAAAAGAGAGGCACAGAAAATTGGGTTAAAATATTTTATATGGTCGTTTATAGAGTAAGTTAGGTCTATAAAATATTTCTTATTATGACAGATTAATATCTCTAGAAATGTCTACTGCTTCAGGTGAAATGGAAAAATTGGCATATGATTCTAGAAAATAAAGCCCACAAGTAATTTAAGTAACTTTAAGATAATGTTCTTACAAATAACATTTTGACTATAAAAGTTTTGAGAAAATATTTCATTCAAAATATTACATAAATCTTATTCATTGAAGGTTTAAATATTCCAAAGCATGGGGGTAAACAGTTTAACAATCTTAAATTTGCTTTCCACGATAACCATAGTACTTTTCTAAAATTTGAGGAAAAAAGTGCATTATAATATAAAAATCAAATTATTATTTATTCCATTTTTCCTAAGACAATAAAGCTAGGTATATTTCCTTAATTACCTAATACTATTCACTTTCAAGGGACAATAAAAATTCCCTTAATTTTCAATATAATTCTAAGGAAAGTTAATAGAATACGGAAGGGCTTGACTTATCAATGTGCTAATTCCTGTTGCTGGGGAGATGTTGGTCAAAGGATACAAAATTTCAGACAGGAGAAATAAGTTCAAGAAATCTATTGTACAACATGGTAACTACAGTTAATAACAATTTATTGTTTCTTGAAAATTGCTGAGAGATTTTAAGTGTTTTCACAAAAATGGTAAGTTTGTGAGGTAATGTATATATTAATTAGCTCAATTTAGCCATTCCACAATGTATACATATTTCAAAACTTCATGTTAGACACAATAAACATAAATAATTTTTGTCAATTTTTAAAAAAGAACTATTCCGGGCCCAATACTCTTTTTCTGAGTGTTGGGGGAAAAAAAAGGAAAAAAAGAAAAAGATGGCAGTTAATAAGGACCAAAATTGTTTAATGTACCTCTTAAGTTACCTATCCTTTTCTTATTATTTTTAAATTGAGAGTGATAGAAATTATAGAAAACCCAACACAGAGATGAGCTGAGTAAGGAGTCTGTGAGATAAATTAGATGATGGGGAATTACTTTGCCGCCTTTGCAAAAAACCACAAACATCTTTCTACAGATTCATTCATTCAACATACACCTACTAAGAATCATTCATCATTATCTCACTTGTGTATTCAAAAAACCTCAACTGCCAATAGGAAAAGTCTAACTCCCAAAGTCCTCAATAATTTGACTTCTACCCATCTTTCTAATTTAAACTACCACTATACAGTCTCTCCTCCTGCCAAGAGTCTCCTTACCAGCGGTCCCCTACCTTTTTGGCACCAGGGAGTGGTTTTATGGAAGATAATTTTTCCATGCCAGTGGTGGGAGTTGGGGGGTTGGGGGGGGAGTGCAGCTCAGGCTGTGATGCAGGATGGGGAGTGGAGCAGCCTGTAAATACAGATGAAGCTTCACTTGCTAGCTGCTACTCATCTCCTGCTGTGTGGTGCCCTGCCCCCTTTCCTAAGTTTCAAGGAAGACAATTTTTCCATGGGGTGAGGGTAGGGGCAGTGGAGCTCTGCAGCCCAGTCAGCCATCAGTGCCCAAGGGGTTGGGACTGGGGACTGCAGTCCTTACTATCTCCCCAAACATGCCTAACTTTTCCTTTCTCAGCTCCTAGGTTCATGCTATTTCCTCCAACTAGCGTGTACTATCTAATCCTACTGGCCTAAATCTGTACCATTATTCAAAATTCATCTCAAATGCCACCACCCCCAGTAAGCTTTCCCAAATCACTCCAGTGAGATACGACTTGTTTTACCTCTAAGGAGCTATATCACCTACTGTCTATACTATTAAGGAGTATTCTTTTACTTCGTTATCATTGTTTATGTATAGTGCTTCTCCTTCCTACTATACTATATATCGTCAGCTCCTAGAGGGAAGGCATCATGTTTTATACACCCTACCTTGCACAGTGCAATACATCACAGTGCCCTTGAATAAAAACAGTAAACATCCAGTTGAAATAAATTATTCTGGCTGTTTTGAGGGTACCTAATGACTGATACTCACTCAGTAACCTGAAGTAACCAATTGTTGATAAGTTGTTCTTCATCAGATTAAGTATTATATTGATAACTGAGGTTATAAATTTCAAAGTCAATAAGAGAATAAAGAGGTCACAAGACAAATTATCTGATAAAACTATCTTAACTTCTCTCCATTTCCCCAGAACATATTTAAGTAGATTATAATAACCAGAAAATGGGAAATTTGGAATGTGAACTTTGTTTCCAAACTACACATTTAGGTAAAGTGGTCTTTACACTTTTTTAAACATATGATAACTTTATATTATAAAAAAAAATCTGTATTTGTCACCATTCACTGGTAGCTATTTTCTGTATACTTTCTTTTGAATTACATAGAGGACATATCAAATTTTGATCATTGTAAACATTTCCTGTACACTTAAAGCAAACACAGGAGTTTCAACTCACCATTATCTTCGCCTAAAAGAGAAAATAATAGAAAAGATTTTAGAAAATGTTTTACATAGCTCAGATTCCAATCTTATATATTTTAATATGGGATTAAAACTGTTAAACTATTAATGATATCATGAACCTTGGTCAGTGTGTAGTCATCCTGGAAATGAGGCCTCTTAAAATAAGAGTATAAGATTTCCACATGTTTGATGCAATAAATAATACCAGAAAGCAACTAAAAATAATCATAAAAACCACTAGTTTCAAAAATCAGCAAATATACAAAGTCGCTCCTTTAATCTTTATGTACACAACCCTCTCTGAACATTTTTGTTTCCATGGTGGAATACTTTTCTCTTTTCAATTACTGCTCTTCAGCACAGAGTAAGAGTATTTCCTAAACTGTAATCAATGAAGCTCTAACTGTGGTGCTGCTCCAGGGCTGTCTAGAGATAGGAAACAGGCTAGAAGGTTGGGCTTTAGGGCTCTATAGCAGCTCCACCTGTGTCAGCTTTGTATGTGAGATTCTGATGTAAGATTTCATTTTTGGAAAAAAGGTTCTGTTGCTCAAAAACTGTTGGAAAAAGAATTGTAGAAGTCTAACTGTTATAATTTAGGAAACGCATAGAAAAAACACAGTTAAGACGACCTGGGGCTAGGCACAGTGGCTCATGCCTGTAATCCCAGCACTTTGGGAGGCAGAGGTGGGAGGATCATTTGAGACCAGGAGTTCAAGGCTGCAGTGAGGTAATGATCACACCACTGCATTTCAGCCTGGGCTACACAGCAAGACCCTGTATCTGAAAAAAAAAAAAGGAAAAAAAAAAAAAAAGAAGACTGAAGAAGAGCTGTTAATCAACAATTTCAATGGAGATAGGATGTAAACAGCATCAGTAAGAGCTATTTAATTACTTTGTGGAGTACTCCTGTAACAGCTAGGGCCCATTCTCTTTCCCCTTACCTAGTCTTTTGTCTTTCTTTTATATTTTGTTTTCTTTTCTCCTCTTCCCTCCATCTTTTTCTACATAGTGATTTCCTCCCTCTTCTCATCTTTCCAGCAGTTTCACGTCTCTAATTTATCATAACATGGAAGTGAAGTGTTCCTACAACTCTGGCGTTTTATTAAGTGAACAAAAATATTTTCTGCTTTAAAAGTAACCGACCACAGAAAAGGTCTGGAAGAATACCTTCCAAACTCTGTACTATGGAACAGAAATTGGGGGTGGGGAGAGAGCTTTCCCCTTGACTTTATATAACTTCTATATTGCTTCAATTTTCATAAAATTTTGTGTAATTAAAGCATTTAAGTTGAAAATAGAAAAGTTATGAGGTAAAAGTAGTAAAAGAGACAAAGGATAAGAAGCCACATGTTTTTCATGATCCAATTCCCTTCTCCAGGCAGTTTCAAAATGAGTTTGGGGGAGAATATTTGCCACATTGTAATAGAGTGAGCATGTAAAAGCAGTCTATGCATTCAACCCTTCCAAGTCTACTGGGTTCTCAGAAGGCCTAAAGATACAAATTTAGACCAGGAAATTCAATTTTTTAAATCAATCCTGGTCTAAAAAAACATTGGAATGGTAGGTCAATTACAGAGTTATTCCCAGGGTTCAGTTCTTCACTGAGACTAGAATGAGGATGTGCCCAACTGACTATGGCAATGCTGTCCCATTGAAATATAATGCCAGCCACGTACGCAATTCAAAATTTTTCTAATAGCCACATTATTAAAAGTAAAATGTATACACATCCTATAACATATATGATGCAAGGGTTAAAGTAATCTTACCAAAACAATAAAGTTCTGTTTAGTGGCAATAATATTTTACACTGCTTCGGTTTCTAAATTTAAATGAACTGAAATTAAATAAAATTTAAAAATCAGTTTCACATTAGCCACATTTCATGTGCTCAGTAGCCCCATGTGGGAACTGCCTTCTTTACTGGACAGTGCCCTATACAGTACTGCTGAAGGCAGCCTAAGTTTCTGAAACTTCTCCACATTCTTTCTACTCAAAGTGTGGCACATGGGTCAGCATCCTAGGTAGCACCCAGAGCTTGTCAGAATCTTGGGCCTCACCCAAGACCTACAGAATCAGAACCTGTATATTAATAAGTCTTCTAGGTGATTTGTATACACACTAAAGTTGGGGAAGCACTGTATGTATAAGCCATTGGTTCTCAAACTTGGTTGCATACTGGAACCATCTAAAGAGTTCAAAAAATACCAGTGCTTGGGTTTTTATCCCAAGATTCTGACTTCATTATATGGGCAGGGCCTGGGCATCCAGATTCTTAAGAGGTCTCCAGGAAATCTCTGATATATATGGATTATTCACATGTTCTAATTTATTTTACACAAAGCTTCTTAGGCATTCAGGGACACTGGAGTAGCAACTGTCCAATTAGGCATAGCAGCAGGAGGGTGGGGCTTCCACAATCTGGGGCTTTGTGTCTCCTGCCAGCCTGCCAAGCTTGGTCATCTCTACCGCTCTTTCTCTTTTCCTCTGGGAGGCCCAGGTGACTGCCACAGCCTCTGTGGCCCTGTGATTTGCAGGTACTGAAAGATCCACAGGGAGGATGCCGGGACACCACAGATGTTGGGAAGTGTTAACAAATGGCGACCATGAAGAGACCTGAGAGACCCAGGGGACACCTGTTGTGACGGGAGGTCAACACGCTGATGTCTGCACAAGCCCACTGATGGCTCAGTTGTCTCCCCAACCTCACTGGGAAAAACTCGGGACAGAATTAAAGATGCTGGATATTTTACCAAGGCTTTCAGTGAAATGGCATATTTTCAAATATTCCTAGACTGCTTTGAGGAATCAGGTTGACTTTATAAAGCCAATAAAAAGCCCTTTAGGAAAAAAAAGCTTCTAGTTTGGCATATAGCAGGTACTTGATAAATGACAGCAGTTATATAAAACATATATAGAAATCTTGAGATTTGACTAGGAATCTTATTCTTCTGTTGATCAAATTAAGAAGAAATATAAAATAGTTGAAAATTTTTTCAGTATAAAGTTAAGTTGCAAAGATACTTTACAAACAGTATCTAAAAAGCATAAAAATGTATGTATAAAACACCTACCTCGGCTGGGTGCCAGAGGATTTAAAGGACGATAAACAGATCGAGGCCTGAAAAAGAAAGCAAAACACCCAAACATACAATAGTTTGACTTTTATATATAATTATTTTCCAACAAAAATACTCCCTTCCCCCACCTTCCCTTTACTCCTCCTGCCCCACCCCCTCCAGTTACTTGAAACAGTTTTCTTCATAGATGCTGTTCCACACTCTCCATGCAGAGGTCCCTTTATAGCCAGTGTAACGCTCTGGGTTCAGTAATAGGTCTACATATTGAGCAGCTGGAGATCTCTCATCTGAACAAGAAACAATTCATAAAAACCATCCATATTTCACCATTTATCTGAAACTTAGTGTTATAAAGCAAATAGGACTAGGACTAGGTTAAAGAAATACTATGTTTTTTCAAGTAATCTCCAACTTAAATGTAGAGTGGTTAGCATACTTGCAAATGTACTTGACCCACGATTTACAGTAACTTGGAAAAATTACTTCAGAGAGAAAAAAACCCAACTATTCCCTTTCCATTGGAAACTTGGTGCTCTTTTAAGTAATGTAACATCCCTCATCTTATTAAAGATATTAATCATTTAATTTTTAACCACCCAGGATTGAAAAGACCAAACAGAATCATAACCTGCTTTAATATTTTATGCGATTTCCTTTCTAAACATACACCTACCTAACTACACGCCTACAAACATTTTGTTGACATATATTGTACTAAAAATAGAGATTTCCCTGCTACTCTTTACTTGGACTTACGAAGTAAATGGCTCAATAACTTTGTGACTCAAATCTGATTATTCATAAAGCTACACGATGCTCTAGTTTAAAAAAATACATATTTTTACCAATGTTAACATATTGAAGTGTTTTTTTCACTCTCAAACTAATACAGTTGGCACAACTTTCAAAAAGTTTTGTTGAAATATTTAAAATTAAATAACTGTTTTGCAAGTTGAAACTTAAATGATTATTTACGAGATCTCTACTATTTGGACATTTTAATAGAGATCACTGAGGAACACAAAAGATAAAGAAAAATGGTCTTCATTATTGCTCTGCACATTATACGTAGAAATGGGAAAGACATGCTTTCATAACAAAAGAAAAATTATAATGACTGTGATTCACAAATGTATGATCATAATATATATAAGATCAAGTGCCCTGTATGTTGGCACAGATGTATTCCTTAATTTATTTGCTTACTACCTTTTGTTGTCATGAGATTAAATCAATAGTATGTAGGTACCTGGTTTAAAACAAGGGTCCAAATATGATTATTAAATGTCCCTCTTCCTTTCATTACCTGATGGTATATATTCCTGTCAGTGAACAATATTCACTGGACATTCAATGATCATAGATTGGGATTATCCATAGTCATAAAGGGAAAACAGCATATTGATTCATGCTTTCCAAGAATTACTGGTACTTCCATGAGGTAGGAAGAGTACAAAGATAATTAACAATTTGCTAATGTTACATGGGCTGTATATAACTTACAGACAATGGAAACATGATTTTGCAGACTTTAAAAATATCAGCTATATTTCTAGCTCGAAAATTATAAAGATATTCCACTATACAAAATAAGGCAAAGAAAACAATCTATAGATAGATAAACAGAAACTGTCCAAGAACACAGATTGATTCAGGACTAAAACAATTTTTAAAACTTTGATTTAAAAATAAAAATTCAAAATATGAAGTTATTAAAAGTATGGCTTTTAGTAAAAATATAATAAAAAGTTAAAATTCATTATTTGTTTTTTTAATTTCTTTGACCTGTTTTTAAATAAATTCATTTGCAAAATTGATTCAATTATATAATCTAAACGAACATTAAATATCACATAAATATTTTCTGATGCATATATATGTATGTACACATTTATAAATAACTTGTGTGTGTACATGTAGGACTACATGTGTACAGTGTCATCTATGAATAGGCAGACTGGACTGTAAAACTAAATAACCAATAAAGAAAAAAATAATTCAGATATTAAAGCATAATGATTTAAAATATATATTAAGGGAGCTAAAAATCACGATAGTAAAATCAATTATATCAGGGTTTTTTTTAAAGAGGCAGGGGTCTTGCTATGTTGCGCAAGCTGGATTCCAACTCCTAGGTTCAAGCAATCCATCCACCTCAGCCTCTCAAGGAGCTGGAACTACAGAGGTGCACAACCCCATCTGGCTCAATGATGCCAGTCTTTATAACTACTTTCTTAAGCAAAACTCATATTTTCAGTGTTCTTAACATTTATATCTTTAATTCAATCAAGAGTTATTTTTTAAAAATCTTTTAATATTTTTTCAAATCACAAAAAGGGTGGGTTTTGTTAACCTATACAAACCTATATAGTTTATAAACTATAGATCATGGACCAAACCTGGCCCACTGCCTATATTTGTAAATAAAGTTTTCTTGGAACACAGCCATGTTCATTTGCTTATTACTACATTCACACTATAATGGCAGAGTTGAGTAGCTGCAACAGAAACTGTATAGTCCACAAAGCCTAAAATATTTACTATTTGTCCATTTACTGAAAAAGCTTGTCAAGCACTGATCTACACTGATTTCCAGACATCCAGAGTGAGCAACATGTGTGGGAGAAAGCACATGCAGGTTGAGTTCCCTGCAAACACTCTAGTGCTGGTGCCCATCCTTACCCTGTCTCCTGTGACACTGATTTTAATTTGTTCCTAACTTATAACTTATTTCCATTTGTACAGCTGCATCATTCATCCAGATAATTCTCTCTGGACCCCTCCTATTTCCTCCCACCAAAAGTTTTCTATTCTTCCTCCCTCTATGAAGCTGCTCCAAAGCTGTTCTTTCCATTTGACCATGCTAACTATTACCTAAGGATTCAAACAATTCCCATTGAATCTAATTCCTCAATTCCTTGAATCTAAATTCCTAGATTCCACTGAATCTAAACTCTGGGAATTCATCTAGTTGAACTAAAGTTATTTTGCTCCTCCTCAACTATACCATTTTTTCCAACCAAATTTTCTTTTCACAGTCCTAATTTAATATTAGGGTTATGAGGTCACACTGTATTTTCCAGGATGCTACACATTCTTCCCTGCCTCCCAATCCTATACCTCCCTTAAAACATAATGGTAACAAGGGTCAACTTAGTGTGCAGGCTTTTTTGCTTATGGTCACAGATAAAAAGTATTATATTAATATTATGGACTCAGGATTTAACATATAGCCCTTCATCACTAACCCTATCCCAAATTGCCACTAATACTGTTAAAACATGATTTACACAGTTGAGGAGAATCTACAGTTTATAAAGCTCTCAAGTAATTTTGATACACAGCCAAATGTAAATAACATTTTTTTTTTTTTTTTTTTTTGAGACAGAGTCTCACTTTTTTGCCCGGGCTAGAGTGCCGTGGCGTCAGCCTAGCTCACAGCAACCTCAAACTCCTGGGCTCAAGCGATCCTTCTGCCTCAGCCTCCCGAGTAGCTGGGACTACAGACATGCGCCACCATGCCCGGCTAATTTTTTCTATATATTTTTAGCTGTCCAATTAATTTCTCTCTATTTTTGGTAGAGACGGGGGTCTCGCTCTTGCTCAGGCTGGTCTCGAACTCCTGAGCTCAAATAATCCGCTCGCCTCGGCCTCCCAGAGTGCTAGGATTACAGGCGTGAGCCACCCCGCCCGGCCGTAAACAACATTTTAAATTATTAATGAACAAGTTTTAAGGGACAAAATAAAAGTAAAAATATATCATACTATTTAGGCTATTTATGAACCAACTACTTCATTTAGCAAATATTAAATACCTACCATGTCCAGGCACTGTTTTAGTCACTAGGAATACAGTAAGGATACAAAAAGATACCACCCTGCTCTCAAGTAGCTCACAATCTAGTTGGAGAAGACAGACAACAAACCAATAAACTAACTAATATATCATACACTGCTGTCAGGTAGTTGTTAGTGCTGGAGGAGGAGTGCAGGGGATGGGGTGGGGTGGAAACCTGCAGTACAAAGGGACAGAGAGTGATAGTGGTTACTATTTTATATAGGAAGATGAGAGCAGGCTTCTCTGATGAGGTGACATTTGAGCAGAAATATGAACCAAAGGAAGAAGCCAGCCATGCATAAAGACAGTAACAAAAAATAGGATAGGGTGAGGAAGGCAGCTTACCTTAAAGGGTATCAAACAGCTAAATTATTCTATAGGGATCATCTTTCATTCAAATAAAGACAATACCAACAAAACAGTTGGGAGCAGGGGTATACAGATATATTCCCTAATAAACTGGGGTGAATATTCTTTAGATTTTTTTTAAATCTACTGAATTTACATAACGAGAATAACTAAATAATGACTCTATGGCTACCCTGACAGTGATAAAAAAAATATTACAGGTATAAATCAATGGAACTAAGAAGAGTAGTGGTAATCCAATTAGTAAGTACCATGGTTTTATATGTGTAAGAATTACCTTAAAGAGAAAAATTACTGATTATTTTAAATTCTAAAAACTTAAAGGATGATTTTATATAAACTTTTATATGACATCACTCCCGTTTTTACAATTTAAGAAACTAATGTTTTAAAAAATAGTTAACCCTATTTATAGTTATATAGCACATCATTTTATTTATAACAATCTCTGCAATTGTGGAATATTTTTTATTAAATACATATTTACTATAATAGCAAAATATTACAGAAATGATTTATTAATCTAAAAACCTGTTAAATAAGCACTATGAAATTTTTTTTACTTTAATCAAAGAAGAGGTATAATGAGAAATTAGAAAGAAGTGATTATGAGTGTTAAGCACTCAAATATAACTGGAATGAAAACCAAAGAGCAAATGAAAGAGTAAGCAGAAGTACAATGGCTTGCTTTGATAAAACCTTTGCCAATTCTAAATATCATAAGATGGCTATATCATTAATTGCCCAGTAGTATATTCCTGCTCAGATTTCTTAAAAATTTCCTTGCTAAAACAATATAAACCATGATAACCTTCCATTTCCTGACATTCTTCTCAATTTACGATATTATAGTAGAAGCTCACTATAACTTATTCCATTATAGTCTGGATTAATAGCACAATTCTACCTGTGAATCATTTTTTAAACCTTTAGAAAGCAGTATGATCACTGTAGATAAATGAAGAGTTCAGAAGAACTGCTGTCTGTTTCCAACTATGCATGCTGGAACCCCAAATTGTTTTTTCCACCACCAAAAATACAATACCAAGATAACAGGTATAGAGAGGCCAAATGAATGATTTCAGCCTACTCAGCATAATCTTGGGGAATATTATCCTATAGATAAAAATTGAGTCACTGCAATTATCTTCTCCTAAGAGAAGTTGTAGTTACTCTGGTAGAAAGTGTCCAGTCTTTGTATCATTCCAGGGACTCTTGGAAAGAAGGCTGTGGGGAAGTAGAATTAAGAGTCCTCTCCAGTATTGGAAGGCATCTTCACCTGAGCTTGTTAAGACCTACAGAAAATTCCAGTGTAAACATTTTTATAATATGTTCACGACCTGTAACTAAGTAGCTTCAATAGAAGGTCTTGTGTAATCTTGGGCAAGTTACTTAGTCTTTTTGAGACTCAGTTTTCTCACATATGAAATAATACACACCTATTAAGGTAGCCGCAAAAATTAGAAACAATGTTAAGGCACCTAACACAGGGCCTGGAACACAGGCTCTCAGTAAATGGCATTACGAAGAATAAAACCTTCACAGCAAAAACCCAGTATTAAAGCTATTGTCTCAGATTACATTTTCATTGATTTAAATGCCTTATAAAAGGGTTAACGTTAAAATAATTTAATTACAATAGTTTAATTTTATTACCATCAAGTTCACAAAAGTGATCCTGTGAATCATCATATCTTGCCCAGTCAATGAAAGCTTCTTTGCTTTGATTACTATGGGAAGGAGGAATAAAAAAGAAAAATGATTAAATTTGGAGTTGAAAATTTTAACATTGTATTCTAGTATAATCAGATAATCTGAGGTCACTTCTTTATTAGATGATATCACAAATTCCGTTATTAGTTTTTTGTTTTTTTTTTTTTGAGACAGAATCTCACTCTGTTGCCTGGGCTAGAGTGCCATGGCATCAGCCTAATTCACAGCAATCTCGAACTCCTGGTCTCAAGCGATCCTCCTGCCTCAGCCTCCCGGGTAGCTGGGACTATAAGCACGTGCCACTGTGCCCAGTTAATTTTTTTCTGTTTTTAGTTGTTTGGCTAATTTCTTTCTACTTATAGTAGAGACAGGGTCTCGCTCTTGCTCAGGATGGTCTTGAACTCCTGAGCTCAAGCAATCCTCCCACCTCGGCCTCCCAGAGTCCTAGGATTACAGGTGTGAGCCACCGCGCCCGGCCCAACAAAATATTTTTGAAATGGCACCAAAGTGGAAAACATCCAGCTATCAACAGTAGGATGGAAACATGGCACATTCTTACTATAGAATACTATATACCAAAAAGTATATTAAGTGTTAACTTTGGAAGGTAATAGTGACTAGGAAATTTCACATGGTAATCTTTTGGGTAGCAAGTATATTGCTCTGGATGGTGGCTACAGAGTTGGGTTTACTTTGTAAAATTAAATTGACCTTTACACTTAAGATTTTTATATTTTACTGTGTGTATTAATATATTTAAATTTAAGTTTGAAAATTTAATAATTTCTGTTCAACAAAAAACTATAAGCAAAATTAAAAGACAAGCCCTAACAACCGAAATAGCCAACAAAAGATTATCACCAGATTATATGAAGGATGCTTAAAAATCAATAATATTAATAATTAAAAAATCCCAATCCCCGCAGTGGAGAAACTATGACAAGGGATATGAATAGGCAATTTACCTCAAAACCTTGTTAATGACTTAAGCGTAGTCCCTAGATCATTTCTCTATTTACACTCTCTCTTTGGTGATCTCATTCAGGTTAAGGGCTACTAATTACCATATATTCATTGACTAATGCCCAGACCTCTCCCCTAATTCAGACTTATATATCCAACTGCATACTTAATATCTCCAACTGGATGTCTCACAGGCAGCTTAAACTCAGCAAGTCAGAACTGAACTATAATTTTCCATCATACTTGCTCCTCTTGCACGATGTCCACAGTTCAGTAAAATGGCAACTCCATTTTTATAGTTTCAAATCTTATAGTTATCCATAAAGCTCATCTTTTTCATACCCCATATCCAATCCTTCAGCAAATCCCATCAGCTCAATCTTCAAAATATATCCAGAACCTGACCACTTCTCATCATGTCTACTGCTGTCACCTTGGTCTGATCACTGTGTCTTATTTGTATTACAATAATCACATAACCAGTCTTCCACAATAGAACATCAGGCTCCCTTATCACCGGCCCCTGTTTAAAATCCTCCCATGACTTTGCATTCCACTCAATTGAAAAGCAGTTTTCATTATAATTGCCTGCAGGGCTCTACAAGAGCTCCACCCACCACTCACCCCCCCACCCCCCACCCCATCCCCAGCATCTTTGGACCTTGTCTTCTACTACTTTGCCCTTGATCACTGTACTCCAGTTACACTGGCCTTCTTGTGTGGCTCCTCAAATAGTCTAGGTATGATCCTGCCACAGGGCCTTTTAACTAACACTTATATATATCTGGAATACTCAGCCCCCAGGCAGCCATATTATAACTCATGCCTTCACCTTTTTCAGCAATGTGCTCAAATGTCCTATTATCACTTAGGTCTTCCCTGACCGCCAATTTAAAACAGTGCTACCTTCCTCACTCTTAGCCCTCTTTCTTTTTCCCTGCTTTATTTCTTTCTCTAGCACTCATCATCATTTTACTTTTACTCATATATCTTACTTGTTTATTGTGTTATCTCCTCCAATGAGGATTAAGCTATATGAGGGCAGATATTCTGTTTATCACGTACACTACTGTATTCCTAGTACCCTAGAACAGTGCTTGGCACATTGTAGGTATTCATTTGTTGAACGAATAAGAGATTCAAATATCCAATAAACAGATAAAAAATGCTCACTAATAATCACAAAGTATAAATTAAACAAAAATGAGACACTATTTCACACTCACCAAACATTATCACCTTTTGGCAAGGATGTGGAGAACAAAACAAGCTCTCAGCACTGGAGTCAGTATACATTCACATCAAGTATTTTGGAGTGCTATTAGGCAATATCAAGAATAGTTGCAAAAGGACAATCCTAAAATTCAGCAATTTTACTTCTAGTACACAACAAACAACATATTCGGGAATGCTCAAGGTAGCATGTAAATGTCCATTGATAGAATCAATAAATAAAATATTGTGTATTTATATAATGAAAACTATTCATCAGTTAAAAGAATGAGACAAATCTCCATATGTTTCAACACAGATAGATCTCAAAAGCAATTATGTACAATGAAAAAACGTAGCAGAATGTTAAATACAGTATTATATCTTTTTTTTTTTTTTTTTGAGACAGAGTCTTGCTCT